GTACTTTTTCTTTGGAAAAATGTCTGTTCAGGTCATCTGCCCATTTTTAAATTGCGTTATTTGTTTGTTTTGGTGTTGAGGTGTGTGAATTCTTTATATATTTTGAGTGGTAACCCCTTATCAGATAAATAATTTACAAACATATTCTCCCATTCTGTAGGTTGCCTTTTTGTTCTGCTTATGTGTCCTTTGCTGTACAGAAGCTTTTTAGTCTGATGTAGTCCCACTTGTTCATTTTTTATTTTGTTTCCCTTGTCTGAGGAGACATGTCCAAGAAAAAAGTGCTCATGTTTACATTTAAGAGATTTTTGCCTGTTTCTTTAAGAGTCTTAAGATTTCATGTCTTACATTCAGGACTTCAATGCATTTCAAGTTTACTTTTGTGTATGGAGTTAGTAATCCAGTTTCATTCTCTTACAGTTTTCCCAACATCATTTATTGAAGAGACTGTGTTTTCCCCACTGCATACTCATGGCTTCTTTATCATATATTAATTGACCACACGTGTGTGGGTTTATATCTGGGCTTTCTATTCTGTTCCTTTGATCTATGGATCTGTTCTTATGCCAGTACCATACTGTTTTAATTACTATTGCTTTGTAGTATAGCTTAAAGTTAGGGAGTGTAATACCCCCAGCTTTGTTATTCTTTCTTAGGATTGCTTTGGCTATTCAGGGTCTTTTGTGATTCCATGTGAATTTTAGGATTATTTCTTCTAGTTCATTGAAAAATTCCATTTGTATTTTGATAGGTATTGCACTGAATCTGTAAATTGCTTTGGGCAGGATGGCTATTTTGACAATATTAATACTTCCTCTCCATGAGCATGCAATAGATTTCCATTTATTTTTGTCTTCTTTGATTTCTCTCATGAGTGTCTTATAGTTTTCAGAGTACAGGTCTTTCACCTCCTTGGTTAGGTTTATTCTTATCACCTGCAATTTCATAAGAGAGGGGTGTGTGAGAGAGAGCAGGTGGAGGTATGCAGTGGGCCTGAGTGAGCAGATCATGTAGTGTTTATTTTCATGGGTACTTTTATCTCATTTTGACTCTGAATTTCACCAGATATTTTTTTAGGGAATTAATTTATATTTTTGTCTGTATTTAATCTTTTAAAAGTAAAATAGTGCTGTAAGTGGAAAGGGTCTAGAGAGGGATGATTTAACTTGTGTTCAGACTTTGACTCAGTCTCCTGTACTTTATTTGCCTCTCAAGCCCTTCACCCATACTGTCCCTCCTCCAATTTTTCCAGAGAAGATATAACTCTTTTCTTATGAGGATGGGATAGGAACCATGGCTCTAATTGCTACACATGTATACTCAACCATTCCCCCTTTTTTGTATCCCCATCCCTTGCAACCCACAGCCTCCCATGGCATCTGAAGCCTGTAATTCTCAGCTTCTACAGGATTCTACTTTTAGTTTGCCAAATCCCTTACCATTCTTCCACTTTTGTCCCTCTTTGTATTTTGGTATTCTGCACCATATGTTTTCTACTATGGTGGCCATGAGAATGCTCCTCCCTGTAGTTTTTCTACTGTAGGGAGTGAGATTGACCCAGGGCCTGGTAATCTCTGCTGAGCATTGTTTTTTATCAAGTTCTGCTCTGCTGGGGTCTGTGGCTTCTTTTTTCTACTGGGTACAACATCCTCTCTTGCTGCACTTTGAGGTTTAAGGGTACTTTTGGTGGTCTCCTTGAGTCCACACAATTTCACACTTGTGCCATAATTAGTGGCAATGAAGGAAGGTTGGCTCTGTCTGCTCTGCATTCAATGTAGGCAAATGGGTCTCAAAGCAGAGTTGCTTGGACCCAGTGGGTTAAAGTTAAGAACATATCTTTCTTTCCTTTATTACTACTAGTGCTCCCTCTTTTGGACCCAGACATGTGCACAAAGAGCTCAGGTGGAGCTAAGTCCAGATGACAGTCACTTCAATCATCTTTTCTTACCTTGGCAATTAGAGCAACTTCTTCTACAGGGTTCCCAGCTTCCAGTTCTTCCTTCTTCTTTCTTCAACCCCATCTTCACATCACCCTGGACATTCCTAAAATGCTTCACTGCCCTGGCTCAAAAACCTTCCACACCTCACTGTCCTCTTTGTCACATGGGATAAATTCCAAACTCCTTAGACTTCATTTAGGGCCCTTTACTGTCTGGCTTCACCTTACTTTTCCAGATAAATCTCTCACTCTTCCTGTCTACTAACTCTACTCTGAATGCATTGACTACTCACAGCTTCCTGATGTGCCTGACTCATTTTGTGGTCATACCTAGTTCAGAGTCTTCCTCTTTTCCCACTCCAAAAGTTTTTGCTCATCTCCATAGGTTAAGCTTAAGGTTGTTTTCTTCCTTAAGCATTCTCAGGCTAGTCCAATACAGAGGATTTTATAGTATTTTTGGTTGTAGCTTTCATTTGATAATCATGTTGAGGCTTGCACTATTTCATGTATAGTGATACATCAAAAACCAAACCCCTGGCTAGCACAGATCCATTTCTCTGGGCACAGACATTGTTGGAGGGAAACTGTAGGGTTTCTTGGTACTTTTAAGCAGTAATGGTAGGTGAGGAAGAGGCAGTCGTGTTATCTTGGTGTGGGTAAAATTGCAATATTTCCAGAGTCTCTCACCTGGCCTTAGTGTATTTTTCGGATCAATAGGTGTTTCCAAGAGGTGGAGAGAAGTAGTCCATCTCCATATCAATAGGTGATTACAAGGGTAGGGGAGCAAGGGTGTATCTGGATCAGAGAGGTTTGGTGGGGTCCCTTTTTACAGCCGGGTTGGGAGAGACACCAGGCAAGCAGAAGTTGATGACTGCCGGTTAGCAGAAAATGAGTTTCTCCTACTTTATTTCTTCCTTTGACTGATTTGGGCTTCAAAGGTAATTTGCCCCAGGCTGGGAACTTTTCTCCCCACCCAAGTTACACTTGAATTTTGGAGAAAGGTCAGAACTGGTCTCTTGCAGCTCTGCGGAGCCAGCTCTTGCTAGGGTGTGGGCAGCCCTGGCACTGAGCCTGGGGAGCTTCTGTGTGCTCCCCACCTCTGTGCAGCCCCTAGTCTCCGATGGGGTTTTACATCAAGAGGACTCTGTTCTTCAGATTCATCTAGACCTTGGGGCTTGCTGATTACTCTGTTTGGAGTCCTCATAGCCTGGCTGTCTCTTTTCGTGCAGGTCCTTGCCCAAACATTCCCATTTTATCTCTTTCATATCTACATTAACTTCGCCTCAACACTCTAAGGCATCATGTTTTTTTTTATAGCACTTATCTGAAATTACCATCTCTATTTAATTCTTCATTTGCTTATTGTCTGCTCCATGAGTTCACAGTGACCCTGCTAGTCTTATTCATTCCTGAATTCCCAGCACTTACAGTAGTACTAGCATACAGTAGGTGCTCAATACATGTTTATTGAATAAGCAAATAAATTAGGAAAGGACCTCTGGGGAGTTTCCTGCATCTGGGTAAAGAGAGTTGTAACTCTTTCTATCTTGGAGGAGAAAGAGGGAGAGGTTGTGAGTTGAATGACTCCAACCAGTTCTCTGAACTCTGTCCCTTCTCAATCAGCACCAAAATTTCAAGGGCAAGGGCTCCCAGAGCCCAGGCAGCCTGGGGATTCTCTAGTTATTTCAGTACTGAGTTCCATCCAATCAGATCTCACACGGGCACCGCTGGCTCCAAAGGAACTTTGGTCAACTGGCCATAGTAGCAATGGGGGATTTCTCTAACTGCCTTGAGCATGGAGAATCAAGGCTAGCAAGCTACCATGCTGGAACAATGATTGTTGAGTGTGTTTCATCTTTTTACAATTTAAATATTTTAATTTTTTACTTTTGCAATACTCTCATTGACATGTATCTTTTATACTGTAAAATGCACAAATAGTAAGTGAAATTTTCACCTGCATAGTCACCACCAACCAGGATACATTCAATGTCCCAGCAGATTCCATCATTCTTGCTCCCAAGTGATGGTCTCCGAGGGTAACCTTAGGTACCCCCAGGTAATTTTTTCTTTTTTTGGAAGACAATATAAAAGGAATTGTCCACTAAGTTTCATTTTTAGAAAATGGTTATCTAGCCTGACACTGCATGAATAGGAGTGGGCTAGAGTTTTTACATCCTCCCTCTGTCTCTGTGAGTCAGGCAGTGCAGTGTTTGATTCATGACTCATTCCATATATAACTTCTGGCAACTTATTTAACCTTGTTGACACTTGATTACCTCATCTAGATAATTATAACTATATATACTCTTGGTTATAGTAGGCGTTCAAAAAATATATATATGTTAAAATAATCTATTAGCTATATTTCTGCTTGTAGTATGGATTTCTCTGTCCTTCTGTGAACTACCTTACACCTCCAGGACTTCAGTTTAGGGCTAGGGATGTGTATGACCAAGGACTTCTGCACAGATCTCTTGCACTTTTAGGAATTTAACACTGTGATTTAGACTTCTTTCTTTCAGATTTTACCAGAGTCAAATTCTGGGGGGTAGGAGAAAAGGTTCATTTCTTGGAAATGAGCCAGATGTGTGGATGTTTTTCAATAAGGACACTTCACTTTAATACAAGAAACATTTATGGAACAAGTGCAGAGGTCGGTATTTGTCATTCGTGTTTTACTTGCTTCCTCATTCACTCACAGGGTCAGACTCAGTCTTTGATGCCCCTCAACTTTCAAGGCATTTGGTCAGGACGAAGGGCTGTCCCTTTAAGGCCCTGGAAAGGGTCTCGGTGTTGGTTTCGCCTAGGAGGCCACGCCCCATCACGTGTCCTCAGCCCCTGCGGGGCGGGGCCGGCTTCTTTTGGCTGCCGTCACTTCCGTTTCTCTGTCAGACTCGAGTGAGCGAGCTGAGCGCTATTCTGCAGCAGCAGCGGAGCGTGAGTGCTCGGGACCCCGCCCCCACCCCGCAGAGCCCCCGCCCGGCCGCCCCCAGCCGCCCAGCCTGGCCGCGAGCTGTCCGCGGCGCCACCGCCCCCTTCAGCGGCGACGGCCGCGGGACCCGGCGCTGCTTGATTTCCCCTTTCCCCGCCCCGGCCTCTCCGGACCTCCTCCGGCGCCGACCCCGCACCCCACGCGCTTGCAGGACCCTCCGCGCCTGAAGCTGGCTGCCGGGAACGGCCCCTGGGCGGCGGGTGCGGCGTGCCCGGGCGGAGGTGCGCGGCCTTTCCGGAGCGAGGAGCCGTGGGGAGGGGGCCGGGCGCCCCCGGGACAATGCCGCTGGGGCCGGAGCCGGGCTGGGCGCGTGCGGGCCCTGCTCCTCCCCAAGGCTTCGCCGGCGCCCAGAGTGGGAGGTCTTCAGAGGGAAGGGGACGGTGGGCGGCGGGCTACGGGGCCCCCGGGGCTGGAGAACTGCTGGTTTTCGCTAGGGGTAGCGAAGCCATCGAGAGAAGAAAATGGCGCTTGGTGCAAGTCCCTCCTCTTCCCAGACAGTCTCCTCCGCACTTCGCCTACTCCCACGCCCCCTGCGACCAACCTGCCTCCCCCCTGCCCAAGCTGTCGTCAGCCCGGGGGTTCTGGCTGCTTCCTGGCACCGCGAGACCCCCTTGCCGCGTCTTGGTGGTCATAACCCTCTCGTACCGAATTTGTGCCCTTGGGTCCTAGTTTATTTTCACCTCGTTTTTTCTAATCCTCTTTCCTCCATGCATTCATAGAAGACCAAATTTTTTTTTTTAGTTGCATTTTGTGTATGTTCTACACTAGTGTTTTTAGTATCATTTGCTTGAGTTACTAGCTTGCCTTTTTTTTTTAAAACAGCAAAAGCTCATTAAGTAAAAGTAAAAATATGTTCTGTTAAAAGTTCAAAGAGTCTGGCTTTAGTTACCATTGCCTTGGTTTTTTTGTTGAATGAACTTCTTATTTGGGTTAATTACAAGGTGGTTTTTTGAAATGATCTTAGGCCCCTGGGCAGCTCTTATTAACAGATGGTATAGTAATGCTTGACCATTTCAAAGTGAAAAAAGTTATGTCCAATTTAATTACGTTTTAAAAAATGTTTCTTGGCATTGTCAGCTAGCATAAAAAAGTCAAAATGGAGTAACAGGAATAATGTATAAAATGTGGTTATGACCGTTGCTGCTCCTCTCTGAATATACTCTTCTCATAAAGAAATCACCAGTTAAAATCAACATGGCTGACTTGGACATGGTTTGAGCTTTTTGAATTTAGTGGCTAGAATTGGGATGGCCCACTCCTTTTACCTTGACTTCCTATTGTAGAACACATTCTATGTCTGTGCCGATACAAATTTAGAGAGGTAGACTATGATTTTTTTGAGCAGAAAATGAAGTCTTTTTCTCCTTTATTCAACACAAACTGTTAAGTGGACATACAGACCCTAAAGGGCATACAAAAATTAATAGGAGTTAACTCTTTGGAGATGGAGAGAGCAAATACACTTCGATTGTAAGCGTTTTACCGCCTGGTATTAAAAGTACCTTGAAAAGAAGTTCAGCATTGACATGTGGAATCTAGGTGCTTAAAAAAAAAAGTCTGTAAAAGTGAGTGCACAAGGCTGTCTGCGTTGGGGCACTCAGGTACTCAGTATAACATCCACTTGAAAGCAAAGGCTTGTGCCCTCTGCGGGTGTGGGGGGAGGGGGTTGGGTGTGGCAAGGTGAAGTTAGGGAGGGGATGAGGGGAGGGACCTGGGGAACTAACTGGTCAGTCTAAGAATTTGAGAGAGGTTTTGCTCCTTCCACAAGCAGATTTTTCAAGTTTTAGTGACATTTCAGAGTACAAATGGAAAATGTAATAGTTATACATTATGTATAGTTTTATGAACTCTGAATTAGTGCTTATTTTGATGGCAAGGTAAAAAACCCAAAGAAAATAAAGAACGTAAAATATCAAAGAGATTATAAAGGCAAATGAATTAGCTATTAACCTGTATATGTAATATCAGTGTTCTCGGTGTTTTATCAATGTTGGGGTCAGTTTCTTTAGTGAGTAATTCCATTAGGTCCCATCAGTGGGAAGTGTAAAAGCAGTCCTGAGAGTTATTAATATTTCTTTCTGGTTTTTAACACTGATTGCTGTCACCTGCCTTTTTGCAATTTACCCTACCCATAAACATCTAACCTTCCAAAAATGAAGTATAAAAAGACCCATTGCTTTAAGAAACAGGTGTGGGAGACCTGTATGACATTTAGTTCTTTTCCATGCTGGATTCAGAACACTGCGTGATGGTGTTTTCAACTTGAAGAGCACAGGTTAAGAGTATAGCGTCTAGCACTGTGCTCAGTGTAACCATTCCAGTACCATAAAATGGTAAAATGAACCATGGAACTTCTTGAATTTTTGATTGGGGAGAGTTAAGTTGAATGTAAAGAAGCAGTTTGCAAATTATTTACATATTGTGTTTTTCTTTCAGAATGCCTAAATCAAAGGAACTTGTTTCTTCAAGCTCTTCTGGCAGCGATTCTGACAGTGAAGTAGATAAAAAGGTGACTATTACTGCCTCAAGTCATTTCTCTGATACTTAATTCAGCAGTATTGCTCACATCCAGTTATGAAGCATGGCAAGGCATATCAGAATCTTAAAATGAGAGCATGAATGGGTGTTTGTGAAAGTGTGGATGGTCCCTGGACCCCTTGACTGAAGTGCCTAGGGGCCTTGTGATGTCATGCACACTCCTAAGCCCCTAAGTCAGACTTGAGCAAGTCTTCAGACTTTAAAAGGTCTGTTGAGGAGTTTTAGGAACCCTAAAGCTGCAGAGCCAGCTACAAATAACATTACAGTTAGCCAATAATAATGTGCCTTTGTTTAGAAATAGGCCTAATCTGTAGGTATTGTGTGTAGTTATTGAGCCAAATGACCTGACTCCTTAAATGCAGATGTCAGTTTTGACAGCTTTCTCAGCCACTCGTGTTTATTGAGCCCACAAGGGTTACTTAAAAGGTAGGCGTGCTGCATTTTAAAGTTAGAATGTTATTTGGTCGCCTGGTTACTCTGGGTCCCCTCCTTTCAGTTAAATCAACACCCAACAAAGGCTACGTGAAATTACCCATTTAGACAGAATAGCCTTTTCTGTGTTAGATGACAGCTGTGCTGTAAAGTCATGCATTCTGCTTAACCAAATACCTCACGCTCATTACTGGCTTCCTTCCACACAGAACTGTCCCAATCTTGTAGACATTTGCATAGCTGTGTCTCTGAGGTTAATGTTAGTTAAGAGAGTTCATGGGAGAATCTTGGAGAAGATGGACCTCTATAGGGAAATACAGAATATCACCTGGAAGGTTGAAAAAAGGCTTCAAAGAACTTAAATAGATACTCTTGGGAAGGAATTCTCTATTTTTTTAAATTTACACCCAGTATAGCATTTGAATATGTTCATTACAGAAATTTTGTTGAGCTTTTATGTGCTAAGCATGCACCATCCACAGGGAATATTCAGATTCTAATATAAAGAATGCCTTCTGCTTATTAAGCAGATGATTTTTGCTCTTTGTCGCTAATAGTACTGTTAATCCTGTAAGGATTTACATTAAGTAATCCACCTTTTCAGTTTACATACATAATGTACATTTTACCTTAGCTTCATCTACTTTAATAAGACATTAAAGTGGTAGTTTATACTTTCCACTGAGGAACATGACTGCCCTCTACTGTTTGGTTGGGAACTCTACTGGGTTTCATGGGCTGTTAGCTCCTTTTGAGAATGAAACTGTAATGAAAGCTTCTATAGTAATGCTGTTAAAACATTGTTTTCATTTTGAATGCCAGTCTAACACATTGCTGTCCATCTTTGGTGATTTTATTTGTGATGAATTTCTTGAGTTGTTGACTTCTAATGTGCAGTATGAGATAGTTTTCTTGGCTTTGCTACTCATGAATTCCCTAAGCCGGTTTAAGTCCTTTTTGGAACAGGCAGGTCATAGTAAATATATCCTAGAAATGGAGTAGTTGATTATGTTCCTCCTAATTAATAATCTCCTTTGTAAAAAAATAAGTAACTTAACTGACTAGCTTTAGTAGACCTGTGGTTTCCAGAAGTTTTTCTAAAGCAGCAAGCTGCCTCTCATGACCTTTTTTTTCTCTCAAAGAAATATGTGAGTGCCTGGTTTATAAAATAACTGTATATCTGGTAATACCACTCTAATGTCTGAAGTTTTGTTTGGGCTCTTGAGAATATAGTTTGAAAACTATGAAACTTGTCTATGTATATATTTATGATTTTTGTTAATGTTGCTTTTTAATCCTTTAAGTCTTAAAAAGTAATGGAATCTTTTGAACCTGTGTGTGCAAATTTCAACAATACTCTTGGCTTTTCTTCCAAGTTAAAGAGGAAAAAGCAAGTTACTTCAGAAAAACCTGTAAAGAAGCAAAAGACTGGTGAAACTTCAAGAGCCCTGTCATCCTCTAAGCAGAGCAGCAGCAGCAGAGATGATAACATGTTTCAGGTAAAGTTGGCTATTTCCTTAGATCCAGAAGAATTATTATCTGGCTTGATATGAAGAATGTTGAAGGTAACTTAATCTGATAATACATAAAGATCTCATATGTTAATATCCTCTTGAGTAAGGATATTCATTGAAATAGAAGAACAGGCTAGAAGAAATGTAAGTAATTTATATGATGCTTTATTATTATCTAAGTCTAGAAGTCTGGAGTTTTGCTGTACTTAAAACAATGTGAATTTAAAAGTTAGAAATCCAAAAAAGATTGAGTACTGCACATTTAGAAAGCAGTTGGAAGAGGTAGGTCTAGAATTGGACTATGGAGTATGGATAGGTTATTATTATAGAGGAAGCAGCAATATGATCTTCCTAGTTTTGGTTTGATGACAGAAAAGGCAAGTGGGTTTACTAAAATAGGCTGTCTGTTTATGTGCAGTGGAGAATAAGATTGATAGGGAGGTAAAGCAAGTGCTGTTCGTTAGAAGGATTTGATGAAATCATTTGGAGAGGACTAGAATAGCTTCTTAGGTTTCTTACCTTATTTTATGGAGACTTGTTTTTGACATCATTGTACAAGAAGGATGTGGGTGGATAAATGGATGCTGGTGAGGTCTGTTAGGACCAGTCTAACACATTGCTGTCCATCTTTGGTGATTTTATTTGTGATGAATTTCTTGAGTTGTTGACTTCTAATGTGCAGTATGAGATAGTTTTCTTGGCTTTGCTACTCATGAATTCCCTAAGCCGGTTTAAGTCCTTTTTGGAACAGGCAGGTCATAGTAAATATATCCTAGAAATGGAGTAGTTGATTATGTTCCTCCTAATTAATAATCTCCTTTGTAAAAAAATAAGTAACTTAACTGACTAGCTTTAGTAGACCTGTGGTTTCCAGAAGTTTTTCTAAAGCAGCAAGCTGCCTCTCATGACCTTTTTTTTCTCTCAAAGAAATATGTGAGTGCCTGGTTTATAAAATAACTGTATATCTGGTAATACCACTCTAATGTCTGAAGTTTTGTTTGGGCTCTTGAGAATATAGTTTGAAAACTATGAAACTTGTCTATGTATATATTTATGATTTTTGTTAATGTTGCTTTTTAATCCTTTAAGTCTTAAAAAGTAATGGAATCTTTTGAACCTGTGTGTGCAAATTTCAACAATACTCTTGGCTTTTCTTCCAAGTTAAAGAGGAAAAAGCAAGTTACTTCAGAAAAACCTGTAAAGAAGCAAAAGACTGGTGAAACTTCAAGAGCCCTGTCATCCTCTAAGCAGAGCAGCAGCAGCAGAGATGATAACATGTTTCAGGTAAAGTTGGCTATTTCCTTAGATCCAGAAGAATTATTATCTGGCTTGATATGAAGAATGTTGAAGGTAACTTAATCTGATAATACATAAAGATCTCATATGTTAATATCCTCTTGAGTAAGGATATTCATTGAAATAGAAGAACAGGCTAGAAGAAATGGAAGTAATTTATATGATGCTTTATTATTATCTAAGTCTAGAAGTCTGGAGTTTTGCTGTACTTAAAACAATGTGAATTTAAAAGTTAGAAATCCAAAAAAGATTGAGTACTGCACATTTAGAAAGCAGTTGGAAGAGGTAGGTCTAGAATTGGACTATGGAGTATGGATAGGTTATTATTATAGAGGAAGCAGCAATATGATCTTCCTAGTTTTGGTTTGATGACAGAAAAGGCAAGTGGGTTTACTAAAATAGGCTGTCTGTTTATGTGCAGTGGAGAATAAGATTGATAGGGAGGTAAAGCAAGTGCTGTTCGTTAGAAGGATTTGATGAAATCATTTGGAGAGGACTAGAATAGCTTCTTAGGTTTCTTACCTTATTTTATGGAGACTTGTTTTTGACATCATTGTACAAGAAGGATGTGGGTGGATAAATGGATGCTGGTGAGGTCTGTTAGGTAACTGTAGGCCTTAATCTGTATGTGAGTTGATAAGGGCTTAGATGTTTTTTCTAAGGAAGAAATAGTGATGATTATATAATGCTGTCATGGAAGAATTGGCTAGAGAAATGAAGCATTCAATGAAGGCTGATTTTAAATTTGAGAGACCGTAGAAATGATGGTTTCATTTGTAGAAATGAGAAAAAGAAATTAGTTTTGATGTTTAAATTTGGCTTTTAGATCCTGATTATAAATGTGATAAAAGAGTGTCTCTGGTAATGTCTGGAGGGCTTGGTTGGGAAACGTTCATGTGGGGTCCTCAGTGTGGTTGACTGAAGTAAATATAAATCAGAGGGAGAGGAGGAGGTGACTGAGGACAAGTCATGGTGATAATCAGGATGGAAAAAGGGGAGGCAGGTCAAACAAAGGTGATGAAGGAAAATGGGAAGAGTACAGTAATGGTAGCAAGAAGAGGGATAGGTGTTTGTTTTAAGAAGGAGGTGTAAGTATTAGTTGAAGCAAATATGTTAGAAAGCAAACAGTTGATTAAAAAGTAAGGCTAATGTACACACACCCATATACATGTGTATACAACACAAACTGTGTTGTATACACAATATGTTTATATTTTTAACTTGATGACCTTCAAAAACAATACCATGATTAAGGCAGGAATGGGAAAATAGAAGTTGATACTTTCATTCACCTTTGTTTTGTTTGTACATCTGGATAAAGATAATAAATAAATGATGACTCTACTTGATAAATACTCAGTTGAACACTAGAAAAGTTCTTAGGTGCACTGAGCACACACAAAAAGTATCTGTGTGAGGAGATAAGTTTATCTTGACTTGTAATTTTCCTGAATATTCAAATGTACACCTAACATATACATATTTTATTAAATTATATGAAAATAGAAAAAATGCAGGTGAATTATTTAGTTACATGCTTTAGTCCTCTGATTTCTGTGTAGCTTAGGGAAACTAGGCACAGACCAGTTTGATAGAGAACATAAATCAGTGTTTCTGTGTAAGGAATAAATGAAAGGGTCCTCATTTCCTTGGATTGTAAATTGAAGGCTTGGCCTTGTTAAGTTGTGTATATACAGTGATCAACCACGTAGATGTGGTCTGGTTTCATGGATTTATAGAGAAAAATTACATAGATAAAACATGTATACAGTTAAAGTTATAAGGGCTGAGAAGTAAAAGGGAAGGTTATGAGAGTGAAGGTACTCTCAGAATCTCTTTGCAGGGAAGTGGCATTTGAAGCTTAAAACATAAGAGGAGAGCCGGTCACATGAAGTGCATGGGAGACGGGAATCATTTTCAAAATAGAAAGAATTGTTCAAATACCATGTGGCTGGAGCCTAGAAATTCTGGTCGAGTGTGTACATAGGAGGTCTAGTTGGTGTAAGGAAGGTAAAGGGCCAGATCTTGCAGGGCCTTCTTATTGGGAGGCCATTTTTAAGAATATGGGTTTTATTCTAAGTGCAGTGGAAAGCTATCTTGAGGGGCAGAGTGAAATGTAAAATCTGCAAGACAGTATCCCTTCCTTACATAGGCTTTCCTCTCTTGTAGAATAAAAGGCTGCTAATTTGGAATATTTTAACTTTATGTGTGTAATTCAGACAAAAACTTTGTGAAGTATTTGCCCAACTGTCTTGGGCTTTTCTCTGATCAATAGTCTACCATAGGCATGCTACCTTTGCTTATATAATAATAAAGTATGTATGGCCTGTTAATGGACTTTATCTTGTTCATTCAACCCCAGATGAAGAAACTAGGACCCACATTTAGAGATTTCATTCTGTTGGAACATTTTTGTGAAAATAAGGTCTATCTTTGGGGATGGTTATTGCACCAAAAAAATTGGATTCAATTCTTAAACCTTCACTGGGAAAGTTTCCCAACTCATAATGTTATTAGACTCCTTGCTCTTTTGAAAGTGCCTTTAGGAGGAATATGTACGTTATTTACAAAGTGATTTCTCACAAACCCAGAAGTGTAGGTATTCTAAGAGAATATAATACTTAATTTTGTTGCCATTGTAGCTTTTTCTTTGAAATGATATTTTGGCCATAGAAAAATTTTTTAGTGGTGATACTGAATTTTAATTGGCTTAAGAGCACATTAGAGTATACTGGTTATATAATGTAAAATGAGGATTTCATTTTCTACTTTATTACATCCATATACTACCTTTTTTTTGGAGGGGCCTGAAGGGGTAGGTAAGAGTCTGTCAGCTTTTTCATTTCTCCATGGAGAGGTGACTATTGGGCAAGTTACTTTTTTCTTTAAAATAAATTTTATTGAGAGAATTTATGTATAAAACACACATAAAGCAATTTAATGGGCTGTAATAAATGTATTCAGTCTTGTAATGAGGCCATTTCCAGTACGCCAGAAAATAAGTTCCCTTTCGACCTCCATTTACAGTCATCCCTGCCCCTGGTAACCACTGATCTGATTTCTATGATTGTAGATTTATTTACCGTTTCTAAAACCTCATATGAAAGGAATCCTACAGTCTGTATTGTGTTGTGCTTAACCTCTTTTGCTTAGCTTAATGTTTTGGGACCAAGTCTTCTTGTATCAGTAGTTCTTTTCTATTGCTGAATGGCATTTCATTGTATGGTTTATGCTACAGTTTATCCATTCACTTTGGCTGGACATTTGGGTTGTTCCTCGTCCTGGGCTATTAGAGTAAAGTTGCTATGAATATTCTTCTACAGTTCTTTTTGTGGACATTTTTTTCCCTTCTGGTTAAAAACCAGATGCATTTGCTGGGTCATATGCTAAGTGTATGTTTAACTTTATAAGAAACTGACAAACTTTTCCATTGTAGCTATGCCATTTTACACACCCAGCAGCAATGTGTAGCAGATTCTGATCACTGCACATCCTCACGCGGTATTGTCAGGCTTTTCTGTTTTATCCAGTTAAGTTACTGGATATGTAGTAGAAGCTTATTGTAGTTTTACTTTGCATTTCCTTAATGTCATACATTTTTTTGAAGATTCTGTTCATGTCTTTGGCCCATTAAAAAACCAAAAAAACCCAGTGTCATTTGATTCAGTGAGTTATAAGAGTTCTTAATA